GGAGGAAGCCTAATGATGTAGTTTATACAGGTCAGTCACCTGGGGCAAAAAGCAGGGTGAAAAAGGGGAGAGAATAAATTTGAAAAGGAGGTACAAATATGCCAGTACATATAGGACATTCTTTCCTAAGCTTAATCAAGATTCAGACAAATGTTAGAATGAGAGAGGAACTGCTAGGCAGAGACACTGAGAGTTCAGTTGCATAACAGATATAGGAGGGGGAAGATGTTGCTTTCATTGTCAATGATTAGTGGGTAGATTGCTTGGTAGATGGTTTGTTTTTAAGGGAATTGGATGGTATGCTCTCTGGACTCCACCTGGGTTCCAATCCACTGATTAACACTTTAGAAAGATAGGAAGATAATGGAGGAGATGATTTGCTAGAATTTCTGTGAAAGAGAATGGTTAAAATGTGCCATTTTAGCTACTCGCCACTCCCCACTGCTCTGCCCAAATTTGCTTGGATCATGATATGACTATATTATGGACACGTTATAAAGTACATAGATGTTCTCACATACGGCATTTGCATCAGGAGGTGGGGAAGGTTCTGCTATAGAATGGCTTCAGAAGTGTCAGAGATAGATGAGGGGATGAGAACTGAGGAATCGCGGAGGAAACCTTTGGGAACATGTGTGAGACAATTTCAGAGATACACAGAAGTGTGAAAGTGAATTTTGGAAGGGCTAATGTATTGCATTTTGCAGAAGGTGTGAAGAGCCAGTAAAATTTTAAATATTATTTTTTAAATGACACATTTTGAAACCGCAGACTACGAAGACCTGGGGGAATACAATTTGTACTGGGGAGATCAATTTTTACAGAATTGGTTACCTTTCCTACTTGAACCAAACTAGACATTTCTCTGATTTTTTAAATTCATTTTCTATGACGTAACTTTGTTGATAGAAATGAAGTAGCCAGAAAGTCCAAGAATCCACCATTGTTTCCAACATAGACCAATAAGAAGCATAAAAAATTTACTTTCTAGTAATTTTTTTTCTGGAATACTGCGAAGAAAATTTATTTAAAAATTTTAGGCCAGGCGTGGTGACTCATGCCTGTAATCCCAGCACTTTGGGAGGCCAAGGTGGTGGATCATGAGGCCAAAAGGTCGAGACCATCCTGACCAACATGGTGAAACCCCGTCTCTACTAAAAATACAAAAATTAGCTGGGTGCAGTGGCGCACGCCTGTAGTCCCAGCTGCTCGGGAGGCTGAGGCAGGAGAATCGCTTCAACCTGGGAGGCGGAGGTTGTAGTGAGACCGTGCCACTGCACTACAGCCTGGCAACAGAGCGAGACCCTGTCTCAAACAAACAAACAAAAAAAATTAATAGGGCAATTATCTTTAAGAGTTTTTAAAATACCCAACCCAAACTAAACAATATTAAAGACAGAATAGTCTTTATTCTTGTTACAGGAGATAACAGTTCCATGTGTGTTATTGTCCCTGAAGACCTTCCCACGAGACAAGATGTGGAGACTGAAGAGAGTGATACTGATGATTCTGATTCTGTTGTAGGCCTAGGCTAACGTATGTATTTGTGTCTTTGTTTTCTTAAACTTTTAACAACAACAACAATAAAAAAGTTTAAAAAGTAAAAACAATTTTAAAAATAGAAAAAAGCTTATAAAAGAATATTTAAAAAGAAAATATTTTTTAAAAGATGTACAATGTGTTTGTGATTTAAGTCAAGTGTTATTACAAGAGTCAAAAAGTTTTTCAAAGTTAAAAATTTAAATATAAAAGAAATAATATGCTAAGAATAATTTATTATTGAAGAAAATAAATTTTTTAGAAATTTAGTGAGCCTAAATCTACAGTGTTTATAAAGTTTATAGTCATATGCAGTCATATCCTAGGCATTTATATTCACTCACCCAGTGAATGTAAACTGACTCACCCAGAGCAACCTCCAGTCCTGCAAGCTCCATTCATGGGAAGTGCCCCTATACACTACTTTAATCTTTTATATCATATTTCTATGATATACCTTTTCTGTGTTTAGTTATGTTTAGATACACAAATACCATTGCGTTAAAATTGCCTACAGTATTCAGTGCAGTAATATGCTGTACAGGCCTCATACACACAGGCTGGCCAAGCAGCCACTTCTTGGTGCAACCGTGAGGGGCGGGAAGATGGCGGAGGTGGTGGTGGGCAAAGAAAAGCACCGGCAGCAGCCGCTCCTCTTGTTTGCTCCTGTCCCGCATCCGGGTTATCAGGAAGAGCTTCCCCAGGTGCCCTGAACCCGCTCCACTGCAGCCCCTTTAGTGTCGTCACTTCTTCACAGACTTCCAGTGCCTGGTAGTCTTTCCAGGACAAGATTGAGGTCCTCATGCACCTGCGCCACAAACAGCCAGAGGGAAAGTGGCCCAAACAGCAGCCCCGCTTTCACAGGCCCGCTCTGCAGCTCAGGCACCAAGAAAGCAGCGGATACCGGCAGCCATTGCGCTGATCTGCTGTGGCTCCAAACTGCAAGGACAATTTCTTTTTCTTTTCTTTCCTTTTCTTCTCTTTTCTTCTCTCCCCTCCCCTCCCCTCCCCTCCCCTCCCCTCCCCCTCCCCTCCCTCTCCCCCCTCTCCTCTCCCCTCCCCCTCCCCTCCTCTCCCCTCCCCCTCCCCTCCACTCTTCTCTTTCCTTTTTTGAGATGGAGTCTTGCCCTGTCGCCCAGGCTGGAGTGCAGTGGCACCATCTCGGCTCACTGCAACCTCTGCCTCCTGGGTTCAAGCAATTCTCCTGTCCGTCTAATTTTTGTATTTTTAGTAGAGAAGGGGTGTTACCATGTTTGCCAGGCTATTCTTGAACTCCTGACCTGGTGGCCTCCCAAAGTGCTGGGATTACAGGCGTGAGCCACTGTGTCAGGCCGCAAGGGCAATTTTAACTTTTAAATGTACAATAGATTTTGAAGAGCTTGTACAGATCAGTTATGTACATTCATATATGTATATTTTGGAATCAGTTCTTATAAACAGCTTGATTCAATTTTAGCTAAATAGTTTATAAGTAGTATGTTACATTTGAACTTTTGTCTTTTAAGAAAAGTTAACTATTCAATATTATTTTTCTACTGTAAAGAAATATACTTTTCTCTTAAAAATCTGTACATACTTTTACGGTAAGATGCTTTATAGAATTAGTTTTAGAGCCCTCTATGGCTCTAACACCTTGCTTACTGCCTGCAAATTTTGTGAAATTTAAAAATAAGCTTTCTAACACTTTTATTCCTACAGAAAAATTGCAAGTCAAATTATCAAATCAAATACAAAAATAAGTCTTACCTCTGCTATAAGCATATTGTTCTAAAACAAAAAACAAAACAAACAAAAAAACACACATTTTGAAACATTTCTTTATTGAAGATCTCTCTCTTAACTGCTCTTTGCTTTAAATCCCTGGTACTTGTTTTTACTGTCTGTAAGAGAAAAACGGACAGGTGCTGTGGCTCATGTCCATATTCCCAGCATCCAGGGAGTCCGAGGTGGGTGGATAACCTGATGTCAGGAGTTCAAGACCAGCCTGACCAACAAGGTGAAACCCCATCTCTACTAAAAATACAAAAAATTAGCCAGTCATGGTGGCAGATGCCTGCAATCCCAGCTACTCAGGAGGCTGAGGCAGGAGAATCACTTGAATCTGGGAGGCGGACGCAGCAGTGAGTCAAGATCACACCAATGCACTCCACCCGGGGCAACAACAGCAGAAACTTCTTCTCAAAAAAAAAGAGAAAACCTATCATAAGACTTTCCCCCGCCATAGGGCAAATGTTTGGCTCCTCTCTCACTCTTTTTTCTTTTTTAAGAAAAGGTTTATAATTTACATTCAGTAAAATCATCCTATTTAGTGTCTAGTCTGTGAATTTTGACAAATGCATAGTTTTGTAACCAGTCAATAGGCAGGACAGATCCATCACCCACAACATTCCCCTCTGCCCCCTTGTATTCAGTCTCTTCTGCCCCCTGGCAATCACTGATGTTTTCTGTTCCTCTTGTTTATTAACATTTATTTTAAAATAAAATATTTTAAAATCAAAAATTGTATATGCCATACAGATTTTGTAGACTGACAGCCAGAAACTATACCACATGGCCTAGGTGTGTAGTAGTCTATAACATCTAGGTTTGTGTAAGTACACTCCACGATGTTTGCACAATGAGGACATCACCATTAATGACACACTTCTCAGAATGTAGCTTCATTGTTAAGTGACATGTGACTATAATACTTGGATAAAATTATGCTAATGCCTGTGATATTTGGTCAAATGAAATTCCCTCATATACTGAATTTTTATTTGTATTGGTCTGTCGCATTTTCATTCATTCCACAAATATTTATTGATTACTTATGTGCTGCAAAGAGAGAAATTAATGTTAATATGATAGTTTGCCTTCCCAGAGTTCATGTTCTAGTGAGAGAGACAGACAATTGCATTGAAGGGCTAAAGTTGTGTATAAAGTTACTTCTGTTCTAAAGAGAAGAGGCATGATTCAAATAACACAGAAAACGAATCCCACTTTCCACTGAGACTTATGGAAGAGCAAAATAAGGAAGATGTCAATCGCAGAGCCTTCACCAGGTTTGCGCTACTGAAGGACAGCACTCACCTTGGCTAATCTGTTGTTTAATAGAGCATTTTAAGGAGTCCTTAGAAGTACAAAGGTGGATCTATAGCTAAAAAGAGGCAGAAAGAGCTAAGTTATACTTACTGTTTTTTTAATAAAAGGAGGAGACTGGAATTTGGAGAAGACACCCAGTACAAGTGACCTAGAAAACAGAAGCAAAGAAACACCGCATAGTAGGAAGCTAGATCTCACAGAGAAGGTTGTCAGAAATTCACAGGAAGGAGGGCGTAAACTACTTATTTTAAAAATGGAGGTCTGATATTCAAAGTTGTATTGCTAGGACATAGCCCCCATCCTTTTCTAAACCTTCAGTGCAACTTTGCTTTGTAGGTTGAATTCCACTTCTGCAAGAGTCGAAAGCAGTTACTACCCTGCTCGCTCTGACAGCACACATACTAAAATTGGAACGACACAGAGAAGATTAGCATGGACCCTGTGCAAGGATGACACCCAAATTCATGAACCATTCCATATTTTTGTGAGAATTTAACAATGAGATCACTTGGTCACAAGGCGAGGAATATCACACACCGGGGCCTGTTGTAGGGTGGGGGGCTGGGGGAGGGATAGCATTAGGAGAAATACCTAATGTAAATGATGAGTTGATGGGTGCAGCAAACCAACATGGCACATGTATACCTATGTATCAAACCTGCACGTTGTGCACATGTACCCTAGAACTTAAAGTATAATTAAAAAGAAAGAAAGAAAGAAAGAAAGAAAGCACTTACTACCTACATTTTGGATACTCAGGGCAATGCCTACAACCTGTCACACATTTTAGTAAATCTGTTTCCAAAGGGGAAAATAAATAATGGTATAACTATTGCAGAGTGAAGCCTGAGGAAAAATTTAGTCATTTTTATTATGGCGGTACAGAAGTCTTTATACTTGGATAAGGCAGGAAGGAATAAATGTTTCCTTTTCTAAAAAGGATAATTTGGTTGCTAAGTCTGTGAAGTTTTATGCAAATAACAAGAGAAATTGCAGCTCCAATTGCCTTAACAATAACGTAAATGTGTTAACTGATATAACTAGAATTCCAGAGTTATGGCAGAATTTTACTGATCCAATTCACCCCAATCACTCTGACTTTTTAAAATAAGTTTTAATCTAAGGTTAACATTAATTCCTCTTACGGTTGTAGCAACTGGTGTTTACACCAGTTGGAGAGAAAGCACTCTGGCTACAGTATTCCAACTACGCGTCCTAAAGTGTATCTAGCTGGCTTGCATAGTTTACGTGGCTAGTCCTAACCCAATACTTACAACAGGGCAAAAAAAGTGCAGTGATTATATGTGGAACCTACCACTACAGCTAGGAGTTAGTGAAATGTGTCAGTATTGTTTCAAAATTAGGAGGAAGAAGAAAGAGATGCTAAACAGAAAAACAAGTATGTCCATTAGAGTAGATTAAAAAAGGGGGGTGAGGATAAGGCTAAATGTAATAAAGAAGAAATTCAGGCCGGGCACGGTGGCTCAAGCCTGTAATCCCAGCACTCTGGGAAGCCGAGGCGGGCGGATCACGAGGTCAGGAGATCGAGACCATCCTGGCTAACACAGTGAAACCCCGTCTCTACTAAAAAAAAATACAAAAAATTAGCCGGGCGAGGTGGCGGGCGCCTGTAGTCCCAGCTATTCGGGAGGCTGAGGCAGGAGAATGGTGTAAACCCGGGAGGCGGAGCTTGCAGTGAGCTGAGATCCGGCCACTGCACTCCAGCCCGGGCGACAGAGAGAGACTCCGTCTCAAAAAAAAAAAAAAAAAAAAAAAAAAAGAAATTCTATGACTTCATACAGCAACACCTTTTCTCTAGACTGAGAAGACTTTAAATGGATTTGATCACTTATTATCGTTTGCTATGAATATAGCATTCATAAACTATTTACTTTTAAAATGGAGGTCTGATATTCAAGGTTGTATTACTAGGACATAAACCTCTCCCTTGTCCAAACCTTCAGTGTAACTTTGCTATGTAGATTGAATATAGCATTCATAGCAAATTATATTGAGTAATCCAATTCATTGAAAGGCTTCTCAGTCACATTTCAAAGGTGTTGCACATTGTATAAACTCTGTGAACTCACATGGGATAGCATCCTTTGCTACCACACAGACAACCTGGGAGAATTTCAAGGTCATAAAAGTAGTTTGAGGTCCAAATAAACCCTGAACTATACAGAATGTCTTCTTTTTCCAGCAGTTTTATAACATCGTAAATATTTTTGTGTCTGATACTGCTAATGAGTTCCATAAAAGAATTTCATCCCACAAACATCATTGTTCAGCATTCTCCTTTTGGCAACAGTAATTAGGTTTTTTTGTGCAACTATGCTAAAATATATCATGGTTAGATAGCTACTTTTTAAAAAATCAGAATGAGCAAAATTTTATTATTTTATCACAAAATGACCACAAAGTTTGTTTTTCTTGTCCTGCTGTTTTTCGTTTGCCTACTTTTTTCAGAACTTAAATAGCAGTGTACTGACTGGTATGCTACCAATAAAATATTGTTGCACTTTATATCATGTATGAGGAATGTGTTAAAGTTGCAACCAAAAGATATTTTTCAGATGGTAATATGAAAGCAAAAATTCTAGTTAGAGTACATTGTACTGCATGCAAGGATCAAAGCTACTTACAGAAATAAAAAAAAGAAACCTGAAATAAGTCTCACCAACTACCCAAGGTTTTGAAAAATTAATTATAAATGTATACAATCTTACAACTCATTATTAATTTTAGAACAATACCCCTGTCTGACTATACACACAAGTCTAAATCGGGTGCACTATAAACACTGCTTTCCACTGGAATGCATTACAGAGCATATTTTTAGTGGCGAGAAGTCCTGGTACCATTAGTGGTTAGAAAATTTATAGATTCAAATAATATGTTTTGATCCTGCTCTTATAAATAATTTTAAAGAATGAGAACTATTTTCCTTCTTACATTGAGCCCTTTTGAAATGTTTTGCTGGGCTTTGAGTCCTAGAGGCAGAAGGATTCTCTTTTTCTAGGGTCAGATATAAGAGGCTTTAAATTAAATGGTCGTAAATGAAAGGGTGTGGTTCTGAAGTTAACAGAATGTTAAAACTAAAGGAGCTTCAACTTCTGGAAAATTTCTTTGAGGTGAAGAATAGAGATGGGTGTTTTGTTTACTTTGGTTTTGATTTTTTCTTTTTCCTTCAGAGTAGTGGGGGATGTGGTTCTTCATAAGACATGGAGAAATATGGACTTGAGAGCCACTGGGACCTAAGATGGGGCAGCACGTGGATGCTTGGAGAGATGGAGAATGCCAACAACCATGGTATGGTTAGGATTCTGCTCATGTTTCTCATGGAAGGACTGAGCTGTTCACATCTGGATAATCACATGGCTCAGAAAATGAGCATCTTGTCAAGAACTTGATGCCCTGCAGAATGTAGTTCTTCTTCCTGTATTCTAGGCATTACAAAGTTCTCTAGTTTGTCATGTGACCCTAAGAAGGGGAATAATCCCTCAAAATATGACCAAATTGAATTTCTCTCCACCCTGAGAAAGTGAGGGCATAGAGTCAGATTGAATTTCACTTAGCAAAATAAGGGTACCGTGACCTTCCTTACAATTGAGGGTGGAAATCATATTCTCTATTTGTTATTATACCTTCAATCAATATTACAATCCAGCTGACACCAATAATTCAAATTCCCCCGCAGTTGGCATATTTCAAAACACTAAAATAATATCCTTCTTTCAATTCCAAATAGTAAAGACAGAGAACAAAACCTTACTTAGTCAAAATGCTCTGTAAAAACACTAAAGCCTTCTTTAATGTAGAAACAAATAAGAGGAAAAAAATAAATGTTGTAATATGAGGATGAAAACAATCCTGGACTCAAGCAAAGGCAATCTTTAAGAACACCTGGCTTTTGTCCAGGTGCAGTGGTTCACACCTATAATCCAAGCACTTTGAGAGGCCCAGGTGGGATCACCTGAGGCCGGGAGTTTGAGACCAGCCTGGCCAACATGGTGAAAACCCGTTTCTACTAAAACTGCAAAAATTAGCCGGGCTGGAACCTGAGAGGCAGAGGTTGCAGTGGGCCGAGATCGTGCCACTGCACTCCAGCCTGAGTGACAGAGCCAGACTCTGTCTCAAAAACAAAAAACAAACAAACAAAAAACAAAACAATCAAAAAGAAAACACCTGGCTTTTAAGCAATCTTTAGAGTTAATGAAAAAGCAAATAGATAGGGAATTAATGAAAGGCCAAATAGGTAAGGGTAATACTAAAAAGTCCAAACTTCTCAAACAGCATTTTCTGCAAATGCAGACATAGTTTAAAAAACAGTTATACTACCTATTTTCCAATCATGATCCAGGCAAGACATGAAGAGAAGGCCAAGATTAGCTGGAATAACATTTATAGAGCTCAGTTTCTCCATAGATTAGCAAAAGAATTTGAGTTTGAAGGAGCTACTCACATCACAGGGCATCCCACCTCTGACGTTCTTTAAATGGTATTTTCCATTTATCATCTATTTACGTTTGACCATTAAAATTTTAAAGCAGCTTTTCAAATTCAGTATGTTTTAAAATTATTGTACAGGAAAGGAGTCTAAGGAATATGAACAGCAAGTCTTGATCATCAGTCTTGAAATTGTCTAGGAGAATGATGGACAAGAAGCTATCCAATTTTAATGTCTCATATTAGAGCCAAAATTTCATTCTTCATATAAGTTATGTGTTCCCATAAGTGAGTATAATTGTGTTATATATGGGAGTAATAATACTTTCCTCCATTTGTCCTTATAATATATAAAGGAAAACATATTGCATTTTGAATTCTGGAATACTGTCTCTGCTGAATACCTACTATGTTCCAGACGCTGGAGGTTTTAAAAATTCACCTCCTTTTATCTTCATGGCAACTCTCTTAGGCATAACATTGTTTTAGACATTAACAAACTTGAGTCCTGATATTTTAAGCAACTCTGAACTAGTAGGTGATAGACGAGGATATAAAAGTAAATTGCATCTAACTCCTAAAACCATATGTGATCCACTGTTCTAGAATATAAATGCATAATAAAATCATAGTAATGAGAAAGAAGATGTGATCCTCAATTTCTGACTCACATGTACCATCTACCTCGCAGATCATCCCTCATACAGGCCTCTTTCTATTCTTTGATTCATTGTTAAATTGTTCATCACATGTTTATTGAATTCTTCCTCTTAGCAAGGCAAGGGACTGTTGGAGATACAGTGTTAAACAAGTCAGACTGTGGTCCTTGTTTTTATGAAACTATTATTTAATATATTTTACATTATAACTAGAGACACCGATAATAAGTTAATTTATAACCTAACAAAATAGTTACAAACTGTGATAAGAAACAAGAACAATTAAACAGAGACATGACGACAAAAAGGGAAAGAGAACTGTCCTTTAAAGAATTGTTGTCAGAGAAACCAATTTGAAGCTGTTATTGTTTCTGGG